AACAAAATGGTAACTGAAAAAGAAAATATAGCGATAAATGTAAATATTTAATATTATCATTTTAATAAAAAAAAAATTTTTTTTAATAATTAATAAATTATATAAATAGATTTCTGATGACGAAAGCATTTTGACTAAAGTATTAGAGAATTAGTTGGTAGAAGTTTACTTGAGGATGAAATGGCTGGTAGAAGTTTACCTGAAAATGAAGCAGTTGGTAGAAGATTATCTGAAAATATTCTTGACATTTGTTCAAGTAAGAGATACAAATCTACTGTTTTTGAAGGCTATCAATACAGGCATCAATGCTCAGCTAATTACACGTTTATTAATTTCATACATAGTATAAGTTAAATTTATTTTTATTTTGCAGTCCTTTTTAGATAAACCTAGCCCTAAACATACTCAATGGAATAGGAAAAATGTTCAAAAAACATCAACTCATGAAATTTATCAAAGCGTCACTACAAAGTCACTTGAACAATATTATGATAATATGAAGTCACAACTTAACAAGTGTAATAAAAAATTTAACAACAAATACAACGTTGGAGATTTAGTGCATATCAAAATTCCTGATATTGATAGAACACACAATGACCAAAAAACACTCCCATGCAAAATACTCGAAGTATCAGAAAATGACACATATAAACTTGGATACAAATCCGGCATTATTAAAGTTACATATAATGCTAATGAACTTCTTCCTTTGGGTTTTGACAAGTTTTCTGAATTAGATAATATTCCTTCAATGCTTATAAGTGTTCAAGAGACATCGATTATGCAATCTTCTTCACAAATAGGCAATGTTAAATACAATTGCAAAAATTCATGTGACAAAAACCATTGTAAATATAAAAAAATGAGATTACTATGCAAATAGTAGTTGTCATTCTTGTAATTATAAATGTAAAAACAATATATAATGCTTTAAAATAAATTGAATTAATTTGCTAATGCATGATGAATAAATACGTATTATCTTAAAGCAACTTAAATTCCAAAACAATGTATTCGATGAAATAATTTGGAATCTACTTAATTTTATTGTAAGTTGAATTGGAATTCTTTAACAATCTGGATACATTTTAGAATTCTATTGCAACCTATGTTTATTTAGAATCTACCTAGATGGATTCTAAATTCACAATAATTCCGTTCCAACGTATGACATATATATATATTTAGATTTTAAATTAATTACTAATCAATATTATAAGATTTCAAATAACTTTTATTTTTGATACAATTGTGACAATTATTAATCAACAATGGTCAGCTAATCATATTAACATAGTTGCCTAAATATGATATTCCCAAAACATATTTGTTAAAAAAATTTTAAATTATCAACTTAAACAAATACTAAAAACCTATCTACTTATATGATATATATTTGACTTTAGACTATCTTTACAAATAGTAAATTAATAATTTATCAAATTAACAGAATAATTATTTGACCAATCTTTCAGTAGATATCACAAAAATAATTATAATAGCTGTAAAGGCTGAACTAAAAAAATTTAAATAAGTGATTTAGATAAGAATAAGTTAGTTTTATATTGGATTTATTATGATAAGATTATTTACTATAAAATTTTGATTACTATACTTACAGATCAAGTTGAAATTACTGGTAAGTTATTTTGATAGGAATATATTAATGTGTTTTGACTTTATTGTGATATAATTATTTATTCTATTTTCTTAATTTCTATAACACCTGTTAAAATTACCCAAATAATTTTTTAACCGATTCGATTAAGTTTGTAATTTTGGCATAGAAAATTTTTGTATCACATGCAAAATTTATTCTACAGATTGGTAAATGTCAATACATCTAATATCATTAAATTATATTTTAATTTGAATCAGTTATACTGAAATCACAAACTTAATCGAATTAGTCAAAAATTATTCGACTAATTTTTATCAGATGTTTCAAGGAACACTTGTACCGCTTGAAATATTTTCCGTTAAGTGAAGTTTATTCACCGACACTTTTTGATGATTAAGGCGTTTGAGAACGCTCTATAATTGTTAAACAAAAACAATTGCAATACAATCAGATTGCGAATAATTGTAATTAATTGCAATTTTGCTTTTACCATAAGGTTTGTTATAAGATTTTCGACTTTAAATACTCTATTTTGAAACTAAAAAAAATTAATCACACTTATTTGCCGATCTCAAAAATCCCTCTATGTATCACTTGTTCAAAACTTTTACGTTCACTAAAACCAATTTAAAAATAAAGACTTAGAGCGCCATTTCGATACGTATATATCTTCGAAAGGAAATGTAAATTGTGCAGATCATAAAAAAAAAAAGGAAGAAAAATAATTTGATAACTCCTGTATAAGCTTTTTTTTTTTTTTAAAAAAAAAACCACAATATCGGATGTCCAAAATCGGCGAATATACCTTAACATACGCGTGTGCGTGCATACGTACGTACGTACGTCTATTATTTCAAGTTATCACTGCAGTAATTGTTGCTACGTAACTAATTACTCGATTGAGGTCAAATGATTACATTTAATGGCCTCCACAATCAATTATTCAGGTAAGCCAAGTATCTCGACGTAGTATCTAGAATAAAGTATAAAGTTATAGTGATATTATAGCGAAAAACAGTTTATATAAAAACCCCTCAATATATTGAATTTACTAACAGCCCGATCACCTTTAATACAAAAACAGCAAATGAAAAAATTTCCTTTTGTATAGATTAATGGGAATTTTCGATTGCCGATATGGTACAAAATATGAGAAATAGTAAAAAAAACTAAAAATATTTTTAAAGCCGAATTCAACTCCTGGATTTCATAAACCCGAAGCATCAACTATATACGTAAATATTTTTACTAGAATTTAATCGATAGTCGGTTATATAACAACTTAACAAAACACGGTAATGATAGCTAGCATGTCTCATATGTTCATTCAAATAATATAGAAAATTTTTTTTAACGATTTTTTTTTTTAATGATGGTTATTTTACAAAAGATGCTTACACAAAATACGTGGTTACATACTACACAAACATAAGGTTTTTAATAAGGCTTAGTCAAAATAAAGAGTAATACAACGACTTTTTTTAGTATGAATGAAAGAGTACGAGAGACACAACCGCCGGTAAATTTCCTAACGAAGTATTATACTAAAAATAAGCCACAAATACAATAATATCATTATATTTGGCACGGTATCCATTCCTTCTATCACATCCTAAATAAGAACCTTGACTAAGCCACAACGCATCATATGCGCGTCAATAAGTTCTTTCGCTACGATTTTTTCATTACGCCCTTTGATTATCAATTCATCTACCCGGCAAAAAAAAATACGAAAAATATAAATTCTAAGGTAATCATAAATAGAGAATAACGATTAAAATTGATCAACACGCTTATAATTTTTGTGTTGGAAACTTAGCAGCTTTGCTCCTCATCCGGAATCTAGAATAGATTCAGATTTAAATTGATTGTATATAAAAAAAAAGCCAGTAAACCATACAACCAAAAATAGAAAGAACATCCCAACAAAATTAAAAGCCGTTAAATCTGATTACTAATTTCCCTAAGTTCCTGATTCTGGCCAATCAGGATGTAAGATCAGGTGTAACAGATCATTACTTTTCAAAATTTCGCAAAATTCCTTGCAAAATTTTAGTTTAAAGTTGCTCATTAACTCTAACCCCAAACCCTAACTTAGATGTCACATTTTAATTAGAAGTAAACTAGTGCGAATAATCCTAGCCAATAGAAACTTGTTGGAAATTTATAAATGCCGTTATGCGTTGTTTATTGATTTTTGTAATTCGGAATCGACATGTACATTGTCTCACAGATAAAACACAACAAAAAAAACAAATGCTACCCGAAAGATTCTACTGCCACTAGGATCCTTTTTTCTCCCTCAAGTTACATGAAATCGATGAGTTTACGTACATTTGTGAACTAACATATAAGAACGTTCTTACTGCCCTATAAGAAAAATGTATCGGATCGGTACGGTTTGTTTGTGGCACGAGTTAAGGCCCGGATTGGTACGTATGGTTTGAGTTAGTACGACTGTGTGGGACCGTATTGTTATGGGACTAAATTACTGCGACTCGGTCGCTCCACTATCCAGAAATCGTGTAACCGACAGTAAGTAACCTTTCGAAAGAGGTGTG